GTAGTTCACCTGGATACAAAAAAATCATAAAAGTTATTGATTAGGAGGTAAATTCATTTAATAAATATTTTGAAAACCTGACATAACTTTGATCTCAAGGGCTTTAATTAAAGTTCTCTAGGGGTTGTCTTCCCTAGCCTGACTTACCTCTGATCTGCATTTTCTAATCACTTGCCTTTATTATTCCATTGGTGTGTTTTGTTGCTTCTACCTTCCTTTGGCATTTTCTGTAAGAAGGAATGTAGGCTGCTTGTCATCAGTTCTGCAGTATGCCAAGCAGAAAATGTCCTCTAACCTACTCCAAATCCTTTGGCAGATACTTAATTCTGGGAGTGAGAACCCAAAGACCAAGGAAATTATATCTTCTGTTTCATTTCTGATTTACTACAGTCTGCTCTATCTAATGGCTCCAGCTCCTACAGCATTAAAACAGGATGAACAGTCAATGTTTAAATAACATACCACTCACTTCTTAATCACAGGACATGTTCAGACCATCACAAGGCCCTAACTTACCATACAATTGTCCCTGGGATGATTTTAGAATTAGTGCACATCCTTAGTATGCTACAAAATCCAGATATTATGTACTCATATGTATTGACTACAGAAAACCCTTTAGTTCAGCAGATGTCCTCTGAACATCTAGATAGGATTAGTTTGTTGTCTAATCAAAGTCTTATGATCATGAAGATAATGTGATGATGTTTATTCTGTGTGAATAATATAACAGTAAATTGTTCTGAGGCATTTTCAAAGTTTTGTTTTAGGAAAGGAAAATTTACTTAGCTGAACTTGCCAATGAATGATTTCTTTACCACTACAGTGAGACTAATTGAATTCCAAGTAAATGAAAGGTAAGGATGAGAGCAGACAACAAAGATGGACAGTGCATAAGTTAATTACTGATAAGGTAATAGCAATTGCGTTGACATTCAGAGGGTGTATGTACAGTGCAGTATGTACAGCAAAAACTCTTTGGACTAAATTTATTTTTTAGTCTTTTCTAGAGCTTATCTGTACAGCACAGCTTACAGCATAGTGACAGAAAATATTAGCCCATGTCTGCTAGACTAATTTTCTCTTTTTTACATAGGGAATAAACCCCAAGCAATTCAGCTGCATTACCAAAAGTAAACCATCCTAACATTTGTAATGTTTCAGGCTATTTGAAGGTGTTTGATGGATCCCCAGTGAAATTCTGTGGTTTTTTGGCATTAAGTCAGCAGAAAACCTTTATGAAGGTCTATAATAGATTTTCTTTTTAAAAAAATTCAGTGTCACCTTGAAAATAAATAGCAACAAAGAAAGCAAACACGGGAAGGTTTTAACAAATGTGTGTAAAATTAAACCAAGAAAGCAGTAATGCTACTTTTAAATCAAAGAGGAAATCCAATCAAAGAGTATTAACTTTGACCAAAATTATTAAAATTAGTCATTCTTGGAGGTTATGAGATTTTGAGTAAACTGCTGTGCTTCTTCAAATTCATTGCAGTTACAAAGGATACAAAAACTAACCCAACATATCTCTATTTGGCGCATGATATAAGCATGTCACTTTTTAACTGATGTTTTAGGAGACAGGAACACTTGACTGTTTACTTATATAATACAGAATTTTAGAATTAATAAAGTTGTAGTAGTATTAATAGAATAATTCAACAGTTTTTCACACCAGTTAAATGAGAAAACATACCAAAAAAAATGATCCTTTATCATGTTGGTACAATCATCAGTAATATTATTATCTCTACTCCCATTAATATTATTATGAAGTTTTCCTTCGCTATTCCTTTTTTAATTTTGATTGTTTCTTGACTGATTTTCTTAAAAATCAAATTCAATGATAGAGCAGACTAATTATCCACCTACTGTAATACCAAAATAATTTTAAGTTGAGGTATTAAACCCCTGAAAGATAAGTATTAAACACAGAATTATATTTGCTATTGATACAAAATATAATTCTGAATCTTTCTGTATTCTCTGGTCTCAAGGTCTTTTTCACTGTTTAAGTAGAATAATTAATTCTGAGATTCATGTCCCTAATGAATAGATGAAAATGTTAATGTTATTAGAACATGTTATATGCTGTATGCTGAAAAGACTCTAATTTGTCTTGATATGAATTATGTCTTTCATAATTTATGTCCTAAAGATCAGATATTGCTTTGAACTGACCTACATAGCGTTAAGTAAATGTCAGTGCTGGGCACAAACCTTCCAGTGTTGGTGACCTGAATAGAGATGTTGTGCCAACAGTACATCGGGTTTAACGAATAGATATTTAGTGATTGCATGCAGATAATTTTGTATTAACATTATTTTTCATGAACATTAATTGCTCTCAGTTTGCTTTATAATATCCTGCAAAATCTATGTGGAATGCCCTATGGAAAACACCATGTGCTCGGTATACAGCACCTGCTTTAAACAAAAGAAATTCTGCTCATGATAAATTCTGTTTTTATTGACACCTATGAAGGGTGATTGAATTGTTATTCCTCTCTGTTGAAGATATGGTTTCAGGAACACAAAAGTAATTTTCATCAGGAGGAGAAAGTATCCTTAAATATAGGATGTAAATGCATATGTATGGCATGGTTTATAAGAAGACAAAATAAATAGTTTTAGTCAATAATAAGAAAAAGTATTTATTACATTAATAGGAGATTCACAGTAAGCCTGTGCAAGATGATATGCTATATTGAGGAAGAACGTACCACGTGGTAAAAATCAGGAGAAAGTTGTTGCCAGTGTAACCGATGGCCATAAATCCATTCTGACCGTGGGTGCCTGGGCTTCCCTATGTAGGTCAGCACAATTTAGACCTTCAGCACTTTATTTTTCTTTCTTAACAGACTCTGGTACAATAATTGAGTATCTCATTAAATACCACAGACTAAGCAAGATCAAGTCGCACTCATGCTCACAGGGAAGTCCTTAAGGAAAAATTCTTAATGATATCATATGTTGTTGCAATAATTCAGCAACAGAGGCAATTTCCTGTGGTGCAGTTTTTAGAATTTGAATCATTATTTACTGCACACTTGCACTGTATCTACTCTTTCATTATTAGCCTTGACTTTTTCTTCTTCCAAACTCTTGCATGATATCTGAATGCTGAGGAGCAGTTTGGCGTGTCAGCCCCCAAGTACCTCTGCAACCACCTAGTAAGGCAGGGCATAGAGCACATCTGGGGAGCCTGTGCTGCCCTGCCCAGCCCCAGGCACAATGAGGCTGCAGTGGAGCTGCTAAAGGAACAGTTGCTTCTCTCTCTGACATGCCTCTCTGAAAAACTGTTTAGTGACTGGATTTTGACCATAATGACCACTTTGTCCTCAGGAAATTTCTTTAAAGGAAAATAGCAATCTTTGGCTCTGGACATGTGTCACCTTACATTTGTGAAGTGGTGTCCATGTGGAGAGCTTGTATAATGCTCTACAAAGACCAATGTTGGTACATTTTGTACCAGCTACAAACGATTGTTTAAGTCATGTCTTTTTAGACTCCTTAAGAAAAATATTAACACACTTTTCTGTAAAGTCAATTCTTTCAAATACTTCAAAGGGCAACCCCTCCTCAAGGTGACCAATAGAAAGGAGAAAGAACCATCCAGCCTCTATTTCAGTACTTGTTAAATTTTATACAGCACTTGCATATTTGCAATACTTCTGCCAAAGCATGAGCATCCTGGCATAGAATTGTTTCTTTCTCTTTCAATATGACCTTTTAATAGCCTGAAACTATGAATGACAATTAGAACCATGTTTTCCCATCACCTATTTTTTTTGTGTATAGTAAAATGTGACTCCCTGTTTCACAAAGAGTGGCACAACAAGGTGTTCATTTTCCAGTGGCCAGAAGTTGAACAAGAATGACTTCATTTCTTTTACTTTTCCAAGTTCTTTCCTCTATACTCTTTTTTTAAAATATTATTCTTAAAATGCAGTCCTTCGATTTCTATCTGGTTCCAGAGATGGTAAATTTTGTCTCTTTGCACTCATTTATGCAAGTACTTGTTTCCTATGGGTGGTGTTTTTTCACTTTTTTTCATTCTCATATTGGAGTTAATTACATTTAAACAAAGAGTAGAGCTCAGGTTGTCATATTGGAGTAATCGTTATATAGTATACTATTGTAATTGCTAATTGTTATTAAGATTACCAATGATTAAGGATTTTCCTAAGGGGAAATCGGGTTGGCTTTGGTGTGACACTAAGCCTACCATCTGTGAAAGCAGCATTAATTAAGTGGCTCTTGTGATTCCTCGTATTCTACAAAGAGCACGTTCTGGGTACTTCAGTTACATTTTGTTACTTCACGTCTTTCCTGGAAAGCTAATGCTTTCAAATGTAATATTACAGGGGAAATAATCCTTGGTATCATACTTTCAAACTGAGAAGAAAGTCTGGATATTTGCTGTGCAGTACCTGTAGAAAGTCCGGGAAAGGATCAGTACTTTGATCACTACTTCGCTTCTTGATCTGGGTCATTTTTACACCTATAGCTAATGACCTTTTGAAAAAAGCTGTACAGTATCTAGTCTAGGTATAAATACAAACCTTTATTCTCCAGAGTTGTTAGTCTGATACTTCTTAATAACACGTAAGTTCACACTTGAGAACTATAACCACAGAATGAAAATCTTTGAATATGAATGAGAAGTAGTCAGGAAGAAAATTTCCTTCAAATCTGAACTCTGTAATGGAAGCAAGCTTACAGTCAGTGAAAAAAGTCTGTTTGAGTATAGTCTGCCAGGAAGATAAAAATTACCCTTTCACTTCTCCTCCAATACTTTGAATATCTGCTGAAAATATCAGACGTAGTAACTGATTGATATAAAATTTTGTATTTATTTTATATTTTCCACATGAGCAAAATATATCCACTGTTATCCTATCTATTAACTATGCATTAACTATATAGGATGTTTGATGTTTATAATTCTAGACTAGAAGACAGGCATCGGAGAGATGAAGCACCAGCTCTGTCCTTACCTTACCCTGTGGCCTTAGGAAGCCTCTTCAACTTTTCAGTTTCTTCATCTGAAAAACTGAGATAACATTTTCCTATCTAGGTAGCAGGAGTCCTTTGAACTAATTCATGTCTTATCAATGCAAAAGCAATAGGAGTCAGTCATTTCTGCGAAAATGATTTAGCAAAAGGGGTTTTAGTCTGTTTAGAGACCAGTTAAAGACCATTGGGAATTAGTATTTTCAAGTCATGATCCGTTTAACACACCTTGGAGGAATCTTCACCAGTCATGGAAGAATAAGCACCTTAGGTTTTTTGGTTTACAGAGAAAAACCCTGAAGAGATATATGAAAACAGATTTACAGACCTGTGAAAGTATTGTATAAGATGACAGTGGTACTTTTACTCACCATTTCTCACAGTTCTGGAACTTGGGGACAATTGGTAAAACTGATAGATAGTAATTCCGAAAGACATGAAAGTATGGTTTTATACAGCAGGTCACGAATATCTGAAGCTTCCTGCCACAGGAGTTCATGGAAAGAGGAAGTATTTTGAGGTTCAAAAGGGAGCTAGACATATTTATTGAATTTAAGCAAAGAATCTAGTAGTTTAATAATTTGCTCTTCTGATCTTCTTTGCTTTTTTTAAATGAAGATGTGTACTGATATTTATGGAGAACTGTTGGACTTTTTGCTGAAGAAAAATTAAAGGAAAATGTTTGAGAACGTCTAGAGTTCAAAGCTTTAAAAACACTTGCCATGAAGAAATCTTCCTATCTTAATCATTACAGACTTATACAAGTTTCTTCATGCTTCCCATTTTCTTGGGAAATCCATTGGTAAAAATGCTTAAAAAGTTATATTACAGGCTTTTGACACATATTTTATCTAACAGTTTTATAAATTCTGACTTAATAAATTTATTTGAATAAAATAACCCTATCAAACTGAATCAAGCTGCTTTTAACTTATTCTCTGTATTAACCATATTTAATTCAAAGCTTTTTAAACTTCAGCAACTGCCAGTGCTTAGAGTTAAAATCTCTTCTTGCTAAGTTCAAAAAAAGAAGGATATTTGCCCTCTCTCTGAAAGAAGAATTCTTCAATAAAGCAGAAAGGACTGGGAATCTCTGAAAAAATAAAAATTCACTTTTTTTGTAAGATGAACCTGAACTAAATTGTACAGAATAAAATGTCAAAACATCCTTATATCTACAATCAAAATATGAAGTTGTTGAGCTTATATTTATACAAAGAATGTTTATGCAGTGCAAACCCCATGAAATTATCATTAGAGAGTTTAAAATACTTATTTCTATTCTGTAATTTTTGAATGACTAAGGGGGATGGAGGTTTTATGAAGTGTTGGTTTACTATTTGAGAAATGTCACTTTTTGCAACAAAAGGAAGGCTGATTTTCTATTCATACCAACTATTTACATTAATGTAAAAGTACTTGAGGATTCATGACAGGGTTTTTCTCCTTTTCTATACAAAGATTTTTTTCAAAATAAAATGAAAGGCAATTTATGCTTCCTCATCTCTATCAGTTCCTTCTTTCAAAAAAAAAGTCATCTGTTAGTACATTACTTTTAAAATATTTTTCTCCAAACCTGTTTATCAATTTGTGCTCCCCCTAGTTTTCAGACCACATAAGTTCTTATGACCTTTTAGTGATATTTAATATTTTTCTCTAGCTAATCACGAAGGAGTTTCAATGCTGTCAAAAAAACCCCAAAACAAACAAACCAAAACCCTATTTGCTTTCAATCTTTTTATTTTTCAGAGAAGATAAATGTCAAGCTTTGTTCTTTGAATACAGCTGCTCCCTTATTACAGCTTAGAGTAGTGCAGATACATAACTGTCTCCAGACACCTTCACAAAAAGAGTTGTTAATCACAGAGCATTCTGCCATGCACAGATTTTCTTGTGTTGTGGTGAATATGGTAGTAACCTTCTCACAGGTGGGATATTCTGCATTTTTATTAACTAGGACATTGTCTTGTCAGGAAAACACTTCATCATGTGCTTACTGATAGACTTCTTTCAACTTTCTTTTAGCAGCACATTGAAAATATTGATCCTCCTTTGTCTCTGGCCTATTTAAATCCATTCCATTTGCTATTCATCTTCTGCTCTCTGTTTTCTTCTATTTTCTACCTTACAATGCTGAATCTACCTTGCCCATTCTCCCACTCTCCAGTATTTTTTGTTTTTCTATTTATCTTTTTTTATAAACTCTGCTTGCCACACTTGACAAGGTAGGAATTACCCGGTGGTTCAGGCACTGACCAGCTTCCCAAACCTCACCATAGATCATATAGATAATTTGCACACTAAATAAGAACAACTGTGCAAATAAATATCCACATAAGAAAATTATTTTCTGTTCAGTTTATTCCAAAAACCTAATTGTCAGCTCATAGATGAAGAGAGAGAGACATTATTCAAGATTATTTTGACTAACAAAGTGAATTTTATTTTTTTGCAATTTTTCCTCTGAGCTTTTTAGTTGTTTATTTAATATCTAGTGCAGAGCAGGATGGCCAATGGTGACTGTAATTTCCATTGCTCCAAGAGCTGTTATTGCATATAGCAGTATTCTTTACATACATAATCCTTAAACCAAGACAAAGAGTACAGACGGTGGGATGCTCAACTGTACGATATTCAGAGGTCTATTCAAAAACTATAATGATCTCTAAAAATTTATAAAGTTTTGAGTGCTCCAACTAAAGAAACATACCTTAAATTGACAAAGTCCATTCATCATTTTAACTGCAACCTGGAAACCCAGAATGATTGAAGTGGGAGGAGACTTCTGAAGATCATCTAATACAACCTCCTGCACAAACCAGGGTCATCACCTACAGCAGGTTGCTCACAGCTACATCCCACTGGATTTTGAATATAACCAAATGTGAAGACCCAACAATATCTTTGGATAACCTTTGCTAATGTTTTATCACCCTCAAAGTAAAAAGTATTTTCTTACAAACTTAATTGGAAATTTTTTCTATGTTTCAGTTTGTGCCCATTGCCTCTTGTCCTGTCACCAGCCCTCACTGAGAAGAATCATGTACATTTAATCAAATGTACATTAAGTAATTTTTTCTGACAATACTAAACTGGGAGGAGCTGTGGACTTCCTTGAAGGCAGAGAGACATTATGGAGGTATCTGAATAGACTAGGGAGCTGGGCAATCACCAACCGTATGAAATTTGACAAGATCAAATTCTGGATTCTCCCCCTGGAATAGGGCAATTCTGGTTATAGGTACAAACTGGGGGACAAGAGGCTGAAGAGCAGCCCCATGGAAAGAGAAGTGCAGGTCCAGTTCAATGTCACATTGAACATGAGTCAACAGTGTGCCTTGATATACAAAAGGGCCAATCACGTCTTGAGGTGCATCAGGCACAGCATTGCCATCTGGTTGAGGAAGGTTATTGTTTCACCTTGCTCTGCACTGCCCTGGTGCAGCCCTACCTCGAGTGCTGGGTGCAGTTTTGGGCACCTCAATACAAGAAGGACATCAAACTATCAGAATGCGTCCAAAAGAGAAGGACCGAGATGGTTAAAGGTCTCAAGGACAAGAATTATGAGGAATGACTGAGGTCACTTGGCTTGTTTAGCTTGGAGAAAAGAAGGCTGAGGTGTAACATCATCGCAGTCTACAACTTTCTCAAGGGGGACAGCAGAGGAAGAGGGTGCTGATCTCCTCTCTCTGATGACCAGCAATAGGATACAAGGAAATGGAACAAAGTTACTTCAGGGGAAAAGGAAAAAGTTTTTCACTGAGGGGGATGGTTGGCCACTGGAACAGGATCTCCAGAGAAGTGGTGGTAGTACCAAGCCTGTCAGAGTTCAAGAAACATCTGGATAATGCTCATAGTCATATGGTTTAGTTTTAGGTAGTCATTGCAATAAGTGGGTAGTTGAACTCAATCATCCTTATAGTCCCTTCCAACTTGAAATGTTCAATGATTCTGTTTCTCTCCTCTTTACTCCCCACGATCAAATATTTATACACATTAATAAGATCACTCCTCTCCAGGCTAAACAGTTCCAGCTCTTTCAGTCTCTCCTCTTAAGGCATATATTGCAGTTGCTTATTTATCTTCATAGCCTTTCACTGGACTCACTCCAACACACCCAGTGCTGCCTTGAAACGAGGATCTCATCAGTGAGTTCAGCACTCTCTGAAAAAATGAAAATTTTTTCAGAAACCCATTTCACTGATGTATGTCAGTGGAGCTGGGTGAAGGGAAGGATTATCTCCCTTGACCTGTTGGCAGCAGTCCTCCTGTTGCAGCCCAGTAAGTTGTTGTCATTTTTAGCCATGAGGGCACATTGCTGGCTTTCATTCTGCTTGGTGCCCACCAGCACCACCAGAAACTTCTCTGCCGAACTGCTCTACAATCAGTCTCAGCCTGTACTGATAACTGGAGTTATTTGTCCCTAAGGCTAGAACTCAGCATTTCTATTTGATGAAATTCATGAGACTTCTGTCAGTCCATTTCTCCATCTTTTCAAGGTCGTTCCCAATGGCTGCACAACAATATGGTTTAACAACTACTCCTCCTACTTTTGCAACATCACTTGTATAATTCAGGTCAAACAGCAGACAATGTTAATAATGATTATATATATATTTCTTATCTTGCAAAAGACAAAAAAACCCCAAAAATTGTTCTTGCATTTACCAGCAAGTATTCATATATATAGATCAATTAGTTCTCATATATGCCCAGGTTAACAAATGTAGCTAATCTAAGAAACAAAATGCCCAGTAACATTTATTATGGGAATTGTTGAATTTTGACTCTGCAAAATGGGAAAAAAACCTAAACCCACTGCAGACAAAATATAAATTCAATGTCTGAAGATTGCATATTTTTGAATACTACAATAAATTGTAATAAATAGAATAAGATTATATGTATTTTTATTTTTGCCTGAAAATTCAGCCTCTAAATCATATTTTTTGTAATGTGAAATTGTATCTGTAAATGTGTAATACAACATGATTTATCTTCAGGCAAGACAGCTTACTTTGGAAGTCTTGAC